AATGCAGTGTAAACACTGAGTACTAAATGTCTAATGAAATCTGTTGAACAAGAAAAAACTGACTTGGTTAAAATTGCAAAAAACTAAACAAATCAGTAGTTAAAAAGTAAAGAGAACAAAACATTAGATTCATCTAAAATTAGTAAACTTTAGCTGAGATCTGAATTTTCCAAAAATGTAGCAAAAGGAGGGGGACTGAACTGTAGCAAAATCTTTCCCTTTTGATCCTTTAAGCTAGCCTTTTGATAACTTTATGAAGCATCTTGCCCTTTGTAGGTTTTCCTTTATCTGTCCTTTGCTTCTTTAGCTTTCAGCTAACATTTATTTCTTTTAACTAGCATTAGCTACTTTTGCATTTTTACTTTTTGCTGTTTTGAGCTTCTGGCTTCCATTTTACTATTTTTTGCTTTTAAATGTCCTATAGCTACTTTTAACTAGTCTTTTTTGCTGCATTTATCTTTTAATATAGCCTTTTTTTATTTTTAGTTATGGTTTTGCTACTTGTAGCTTGTGTTCTGCTACTTTTAGCTGTAACAATTCTCAGCTTCTACAGCAAATTTTAACAGACATTCAGCGCTTAGACTACGTTTTAACAGAAAATGTAACTACCCTCAGTAAGTAATTGTGCTAATGTATCATGTGGTTGTCTGTGATTTATATCCTGATTGTTTATGTTCAAAGGATAATTTAAAATGCATTTCTATGTTGATAAGTGACTGAGTCAACAAAACAAATTGAAATAACTATTGCAGTTCAAGAAAATTCCAGTAGGGGTGCACTGATTGTGATCTCCCAAAATTAAGGAAAGCAGGGCCGATTTATCAGTGCACCCCTAAATTCCAGACGTACCCAGTATATCTCAAATTTCTTGAAACCTAACCTGTAGTTTCTTTTACAAACAGGACACTTATTTGTATATTTTTATGTCTAATTAAAAATGCACAACAACAAACACCTGTATACCTTCAGAATCACAAGATGCAGACCAACAATTAGCATAGATGCTAACTTAACATTGAAAACGTCATAACTCTGTTAACATTGAGTTTATCACTAGAAATTTATACTGTAACATTTCAGTCATTACTAAAGACGTTCATGTTAAGATATCTACAGAGTTTGAAAGTGAATTAAATAAGTTTAATTGTTCATAGTTTCCGCTGCAGATCCTTTTGGAGGAGATCCATTCAAAGACGCAGATCTGTTCAAGACTTCGTCTGAAGATTTCTTCAAGAAGACCACAAAAACAGATCCTTTTTCCACACCAGACCCCTTCAGTAAAAGTGCCACCTTACCTTCCAAGGTATCAGACACTGCTTTAGAGATGGAGTGTTCAGATGATAAATTACTTCTGCTTTCAGCCTGATTAAATAAAATGGAATAATTTTGCATAAAGTTTAAACTATATTTTTTATGTTTTTTTACAGCAAACCAATTACTTTACAAGCGCTGACCCGTTTTCCTCAAGCCACTCAAAGCCAAGAGCACCAGGTAAAATTTATCTCTGTATTTTTGTATGTTTAAACCTGTGTTATAAATTATCCTTTGGCTGGATTTTGTTTAATAATTCCATACTCACACTTTATAACAAAACATGCTAACAAAACATATTATGTAAAATATGTTGGATAGTTTTTAGTTGATTTTGTTTTACTTAGATCTTAATTTAAAAATCATTTTATTTGTGCCATTTCTTAGTTATTTTTTTACAGAGTCCGGTAAATTGATTGTATCGTAATTTTATGACTTTTTCTCTTTGCAACAGTTTTTATGGATGAAAGTTTATTACAAATGTTAGTGTTTTGAATATGTGTTGAAGAGGTCTCTCAGCTACTACCCCATTAAACCTTAGCTCAATATCTGTTAAATGTGTTAAAGTAGTAAAGACACGTGTTAGTAACTGTAAATAAACATTTTAATCTTTGCATTCTAGTCATGTTTCAAACTAAGTGTTTGACCTTAATTAGTATCACAAGTGCTTTTAAGCTTTTCATCAGACATTCAGCCTGTTAAAGGTTAAAAAACAAACAGCCACCGGGGAGTTTGGTATTGTTGTCTGCATGGAGCAGAGAAAGTAAAAAACTGTCTGAGGGGCTCACAAAGAAGATTAGAGATATATATATTAAAGGTAAAAACTAAAAGACTATCTCCAAGCAGCTTATTGTTCCTCTGAAAACATCTGACTATAAAAAAGAAGAATATTAATGTGGACGTATAAGGAAATGCATCTCAGGTTGATCAAATTAGTTGTATTGATGGTAAAAAAACAAAAAACAAAAGAGTCCAAGAAACCATCTAAATCCATTCAAGCTGAACTCCAACACTTTTTGACCTCACCATCTATTATGTTTTGAGTTGTGGTGGTTTCCAAGAAAACTATTCACAAAAAAAAAAGCAAGAAACAAAATTGTAGCTTTCAGCTTCAGTCACTTTATGTTTACAGAAGAAAAAAATAAAGTTTGCAAAGAGGATAACAACTTTTTCAAATCCAGGAGGAAGCTCCGTCTTAGAGCTGCTTTGCTGCACAGGATACTGTGAGTCTGTGCAGGACAACATGAAGTCTCAAGACTACTAAGGCTTCCTGGAGTGAAACGTACGACCTGGTGTCAGAAAGCTGCACTTCAGTCAGCATTTTAAAAACAATGTGAAGAAAACTATTCCCTTTGTGGTCTTGTATTTTAGTGTGAGATAAATAAGTTCCTCAAACAGGATTCTGTTCTTGTCTTGTATTTGTCACATAGGGCTGCTCAGCCCATTCAGAAGTCACACTGAAGTGACCAAAAGCTGCTTTAAGTCTCAGCTAATAGCGTTTGAGGAAGAGTCTTAAGGCCTTAAGTTTGTGGATAGAAGTGAATAATTGTGATGCTGTCATTTTCAGATCTGTTCAGCCCATTAGACCCATTTGGAAGCAGCTCGTTCAACAGCAGCGTGAACACCAACGCTGGGTTTGCAGACTTCAGTCACATGTCAAAACCTAAAGAGTCTTTTGAAGGACGGGCCAGCTGGCTGCCAGACTACCAGAAGGTAGGTGGTGTCCTAACAGTGTGGACAGTGAGGCACTTTAAGCTCAAAGCACATTGTCTAGGCAGATACACATATTTATTAATATAAAAACACATTAAAGAGAACACATGTTTTTTTGCAGCATGTCTGAAAACTTAAGGTTTTTGACTCAGTCCACCATTATTTGTTCTGTAGAGACTCGTACTCTAAACCAGAACACTAAAATTCAGTCTAATCTACACTCACTCCCGTCCCAATACGTTTTATTTTGAATTCTGTTCTGTTCAATTATAAAGCTCCGAGTCGCAGCAAAATAACCTTGAAATGCAGGATGGAGAAAAAAAGGGACATTCTGTGCGCAACAAGATCTGTTTTAGGCAGCACGTATCCTTGTTTTTCCACTGAACATATAACAAATTATAAAATTTGCATAATTCATGATTCAGGAAACAAATGTCCACCCCACTAATATTTATTCTCAGGAGCTGCTACTGAAAAGCAAAACACTCTGCCGTATTTGATGACCGACTAATTGACTGAGAAACAGTTGCTGCAACTTAGGAGAAAAAAATCTTCATGGATACATTAAGTGTTGTCTTCCTTATTGTGTAAAGGCTGAGTCACATTATAGTTTCTTCTGTTATTGTCTTACTACTGCTGGATACTTTATTCTAATATAATTCTTATATCCAAACATTCAGCTCAATCCTGTGTAGTGGTATTTTAGTATTTGTAATTTTTTTCATTTTTGAGTTATTTAACTTTAAATCAGATTTTGACATTTTTCAGTGTGTTAAAAAACAGTCTATATTCATCTTTTTATGCTCATTTTAGCTCATTTTAGCTTTTAGACAGTTTATTTTTAGCCACTGTTTTGCTTATTATAGCTTTTAGGTTTGAGTTTGCCATTTTTAGCTTTTATTATGTTTTACTAGACATAGGTTTTAGCCACCATTTTGCTCAGTTTAGTATTTAACTATGTTTTTTTTTTAGCTTTTAGCTACAGTTTTGGTAATTTTAGTTTTTATCTATGGTGTTACTAATTTTAGCTTTTAGACAAAGATTTATTTTAGTTTTCTTATGGTTTTGTTGAATTTAGGTTTTTACTTTTGATTTGCTGATTTTAGTTTTTGTTCATTTTAACTTTGATAATTCAGTTCACAACTTATTTATCATTCAGCAACGTTTCTAGTTGTATATATTTGTTTTTTTTTCTCCAGGCAGTGTTTGTGGATGACCCATTCAGCAGGAAAAGTGACATACCAGCTCTACCTCCAAAAAAGACCATCCCTCCAAGACCCAAACCACCCAGTGGTCAGTACTAGTTTCTATGTACACTACAAAAATACTCAAATATTACTGTTTGTTGAAGTAATTAGCTGCTAGATTTTCTGTGCTTTAATGAAAGTGTGACTTGCAGAAACATTTTTCTTTTTGACTGATGAAAATAGCACTGTGTATAGTTGACACAATACATTTTTAAATAAACGTTATGAAGAATAAATCGTATTTTTCAATACTATTTTTAATTTATATATAATTCTAGCAGTCCTTGAAGAAATGCAAACCACCTTATATGGAGTTTTTAGGCTAAAATCATCGTATGGTGAGAAATGATGGAGTTGTTACCTTTTTGGTCGTGCTAAATCTTATGTGGTATATTTATATAGTGCCATGGTTATCAAATTATAGTGCACGTACAACTGATGGTACTCGGGTAAACGATCAGCTATTTTGAAATTCTTTGCAACAAAAATGGCAAAACAGGAAGAAAATTAAACTCTAGTAGTTGTCTCAAATTTAGATTCAGTTCTTGTGGAGCAGAAGAGTCAGACCACAGTGTGTGGTGATGTTTCAGCAACAAACACACAGAACCACAACATCTTAACCCACACTGTCCACCAGGGTTTGTGTGTTTAATTTTAATGGTTCTACTTTAGTCAGTCCTGTTACAGAAACTGGAGTCAAGCAAGATACACAATGTCAGTCAAGAGTATTTTTCCTTTGTTTAACCCAGGAGATAAGATATGAAGAAGTTTATTTAGCCATTAAAACTGGTTTTAAAGGTAGGGTTAGTTATATAAGTAGATCAGTTAGTTTGTTTCTGTGAGGTACTCCATCTGTTTGACATGTTTTATTACAAGCTTAAAAACCAGCGTTGATGACTTGTTCTTGAGTTTTCTATTGTCTGTCATGATGGTGGTACTTATAGAGCTTTGGATATTCTGAAGTAGTGCTAAAAGGGTTCATACAGGTGCTTTGAGCCCTTAAAATACGTGAATTTAAATGTGGTGTTTTCAAGGTTTTAGAAGTGCTTCCGTCAAATATTACTATACATACCTGTCCACACAGAGGCCTGTGAGCTTCAGACTTTATTTAGTTTTCTCCTTTTAAATAGGCTGATGAATGTTGGACAGCATCTGGGACACAAATGAAGGTTAAACACTTTGTTTAGTCTTTTTATTTGTGCATTTGGCCGGCCACTGGTTTTAGACCATCAAGGTGAAAGCCAGCCAATTCTGGTTTCAGGCGGATCGCTCAGTGCAGCCCTGGTGTCTGCAGCTGATGATCTTTACATCTTTTACACTTTCAGGTAAAACAACACCAGTGAGCTTGACTGGCCCAGCAGACCCTTCCAAACCATGCGACCCCTTCCAGTCATTCACCTCTGATGTCATCGACCCGTTCCAGAGTAAAAAAGGCCCTGGAGACCCATTCAGTGGGAAAGACCCCTTCGCCCCGTCTTCAGCATCAAGTAAAACCCGTAACGGCTCTAGCTTGGCTTTAACAGACGTCAGTTCTGTAAGTTGAGATCTGGTGATACTGTTAACTGTAGAAATTTACACCCAAATAAAATCATGTGCGCATGATTTGAGACCAACGGGCTGAACACAGAAAACCCATCTGGTTTATTTCTGTCAAGTTCAATATTTTCAGCACCTGTTCTCTATCTAGAGTATCATATTCCTTGATTTCCTCCCTTTGTTTATTAGAAAAAATAAAATAACACATAGTCAGTGATAAAATGCCAATTCATAGCTAAAAGCAGAGGGTGTTAGATGAACACTGCTGCAAAAATACTTTGTATTAAATCAGTGATTTTCAGCACACATTCAGCCAACTCTTTGTTTGAGTGGTCATTTGTTTCTTAAGTGGGAGATGAGTAATACTGACTGACTTCTGTGAATTTTATTTCATTAGACTTTTGTGTTAAATTGGTCAGTCTGCCAAACTTTAAAGGGATCCCTGATTAGTTGTAACATTAGACTTTATTTGATAAACATATATTTTAGCTGTAAAATAAAGACTGTAAAAATACTGTAGGCTGTTTAGTTTTTATTATTTTTTTAAAATATATTTTAACACAGATGGAGCCATTTTATGTACACGCAAAGCATTCTGGGTAAATGATGACGTGGATAGGTCCTCGGTGTGAGCGAGCTATATCCACCCTGAAGGTTAATCTTGGACAATATCTGATGATCGACTCTTTTAAATGAAACCAGAGAGCGTTGACAGAGAGGAGAAGGTAGAAATGACTCAGCCTGTAACTGAAAATATGGATGGAGGACAACAGAGCTGCTTCATGGAAGAAGAACCTCAGCTTAGCCTGTTAGCCTTTGTGCTAGCGCCGAGGCTATATTGCCTTATATGTATTAGCTCGGCGCTAGTGCGACAAACAAGCTAAACTGAGGTCCTCCATCCATATTTTCAGTTGCAGGCTGAGTCATTTTTGTGTTCCCCTCTCTGTCATATGGATGGAGGACCTCAGTGATGAGAGGAGAATGTGTAGCGCTGAGCTAATACATACTGTATATATGGTGATAGTGTCGGTGCTAACGCTAAAGCTAACAGGCTAAGCTGAGCTTCTTCTTCCATGAAGCAGCTCTGTTGTCCTCCATCCATATTTTCAGTTCCAGGCTGAGTCATTTCTACCTTCTCCTCTCTGTCAACGCTCTCTGGTTTCATTTAAAAGAGTCGATCATCAGATATTGTCCAAGATTAACCTTCAGGGTGGATATAGCTCGCTAGCAGCCTCGCACCGATGACCTATCCACGTCATCATTTACCCAGAATGCTTTGCGAGTAAATAAAATGGCTCCATCTGTGTAATATATTTTTAAACTTTTAGTTTAAAAATGATAAAAACTGAACATCCTACAGTATTTTTACAGTCTTTATTTTACAGTTAAAATGTATGTTTATCAAATAAAGTATAATGTTACAACTAATCGGGGATCCCTATAAAGCAAGTAAAGCTGTGGCACCATGGGGGTGGAGTCACTATACACATTGACCAATCAAAGAGACAACACAACTTTCCTCTAAGATTAAGCCCTGTGGAACAAAGAGACTATAAATAGAAGTCTTAAAATATATCTTCTGATCTGTTTTTTTAAGCTGTTGAATTTGATTGATTTGTGTAATTATTACCTTGCTCGCAAGGTAAGTACAATATATTGGAAACATTGGTATGTTAAATTTAGTTTCAACATGATTAGTGTGAGGCTTAAATAGCTGTCTTGTTACAGCCTTTTAGTGAGCTGGGAGGTGTGGAGGCGGAGCTAATGTCAGCAAGACGCAGCCCAACATTGCAAACTCTGCTTCTAAAAATACAATGGCTGAGTTTCAATTCATGGGTTGCAGCCCACGTTGGCCACACCTCACATGGGCCATAGACCGCCAGTGTCAGCTGCATAAACAACTGTGAGATTAGACGGTCTGGTCCACGGATGTTGTAGGTTTGTGTGACCATGAGCTGCCCTGTTACCATTGTGATACATATCATACGCCTTGAGTTGCCTATTGACAGAATAACTTCACAAAACTCCAAGTAAGGGACTCTGTAGTACATGTTGTCCTGTGGGCGGAGATGACCCTAATGGTGATTGGTTGGATTGACTTGTCTTATGGGGCAATTTAAAAGAGGAAGTAATGATAATAGTAAAATAATTGACTGTCTGTGTACAGTTTAAAACCGAACAATGACTCAAATAAAAATTATTGTAAACATGTAAGCATAATTTATTGACTTCATGCGGTGAGCACCTTCCTGTCTCAAATTATGACTAATATTCATATTAACTCATATTGATTTGTATCTATCTTTTTACAAACTGGTCAGGGATGTTCTGACTGAGCCAAATTGTTACACGTCCCTCCACATGTACGGCGTTCAAATTTCGTGCAGTTTTCTGCACCTTTATAACTAAAATTAATCTAAAAAAACATGTTGCTTCCTGTCCGACTCGACCAAGCTGCCCCCCCAGCTCCTTCAAACCCCACCATCAATCTGACCAGTCACGTCTTGGGTAAACTACGCCCACAAATTAAGAAACGCCTACTTAGTCACTGCAGATACCCCCTTTTCTAAAATTCAGTATTATTAAAACAACGTCACACTTAAATTAAAAAAACATCATTGTGGGTTTAGCTTTTCAGGGGTCACGTGTTGGGAAACAGCTGACAAGTAACACCCTACGTCGACTTCATCCCTTTGAGACACAGCCCAAAAAAACTCATGTTTTAGCTTCAGAAATGAGAAAAGTTTAGTGTTAAAGAGACTTCGTCCATCTTTATTAATATTGATGCAGCAACGATTCTGCTGACTCCTAATCTGGCAGCACAGCTTATTGCTAATAAAATTTATTCTTGACATCAGAAAATCAAGTCAAAGTCTACCTTATCCATCATGTGATGCATCTAAAAATAGATTTTATACTCCGCCTTAATGAAAATACAAACGCATGACTTTATTAAATATAATTTTAATACAGCTCTCCAATAGCTGGACAATAATGTTATAATAATAATGTTTACATTTTAGTCTAGCAACAATGAACTGGTTTCTGTTTTGAATTATCTTATCGGTGGACTGGTTTCACTTTGATTTATAAATGTAACATAATAAAGAGCAGTATCACCTCTCAGCTGTTAGCTCTGAAGTCTGTTGTCATTTCATCAGCTTGCTGTGTGTCTGCTGCTTTAGCTCTGTAGCTTTGCTTTCTGTTTCTAACATATTGTTTTGTTTCATAACTTGAATGTTTTTGAACTTTTCTTTCCACTGCACTCTGCTGTTACATTCATGTTGTAACTGTTTCTGTATGCTTCCTCTCATACGAAGTGACTAGGTACAAAATATAGTTATACAATAAGATTGGTTAATTAATTTAAATTGAAAATTGTGCATTTATCTGAACATCACATTTATTTACTGTTAAATAGTTTGATAGGATGCAGTTGATTTATTAACTAAATAATTTTCTCAAAGTTCTTCATCCGTTTTGCTAAATTTAACAAATTTTCACACAACCGTCTTATTCAGGGCCTGCTCATAAATCTACTTTTACTGTAAAACTGGATATTTAATTTGATGTTTAAAAGCTGTATCAGGACGTCGTTAACAAAATAAAGACTTCTACAGTCAGTGCTGATGTCTTTCTGTCCTGACATGTTAACACACCTGTAAGCTCCAGAGCAGCAAACTGATTAGGTTCCTGCGTGGTGGTCCCACCGACGAGGGGCAGTTTAAATACAGCATCTCCTCACTGACGTTTACCTTCGTAGTTTGTATAGAATCATTAATCTGTGCCTTTTTTTGGCATGATTAAATTAAAATGTTGGTTGTTTTTCTTTTTTGTCTTGGTTTATATTTGCCTCATTTCAGACCAAATAGATTTTAAATCTATCTTTAAAAGTTGGGATTGAAATATCGTGTGAAGACTATCTGATGTTTGAAGTACCTTAAAAAAGATAACCCTAATATTTAGTTTTAATGTAAATTTTCACATAAACACCTTGTATGGTCCGTTTTTTAATTTTTTATTTTACAATAAACCAGGAAAAAAGACAAATAATTGTGTTTTTTTTTTTTTGGTTTTAAAACTAAATTAGAAAAATGACAATTACAAAAATAAAAAAACTCTTTTTTTTCTCACTTTACTGGTTAAAGTGGTCAAAGAAAATATCTTCATATTTAGGAAAATTAGCATAAAACACAGATTCAACACATTATGTCATATAACTGGCATATTTTTTTAAAATTTGGCTCATCTAAAGTGAAACAGGAAGTGACATCAAAGGGGAACTATAAGAATGAAAACTCCCTGGTTTTTGTTTATTAAAACAATATTATTTAAACTCTGACTTTTTTCATCTCTCTCTTATAGGGACTAAAATTATCTAAAGAAACATCAGAAAATTCCCTGCTGTCTGTGTTGTAGTCATAGCAATGCCCTGTTTACATGCGGACATTCCCCTTTGACATCAATTCCTGTTTCTTCACATGCAAATATCTCAACAACTCTTCATCTCATTGGTGTGAAATAAATTTTAGAGCATGTTATCCATGTTATCTTTCCAAAAGTGCAATCACATTTATCACAAAAAATTGATGTCACAGGCACTTTAAAGCAAAGACAAGTTTTATTTGTTAGTGAACCATTTGGGATCCTCTGGCGGAACCAGAAATCATGGCCTGAACTCCTGGCGCATTTGCGTCTTCGTAAGTTGTGCTCCACACAAAACCTCCTGACATAAACAGAGTCATGTGGTGCTCCATGTCGACGCAAAGCACTGCTGATTTCAGAGAGTGTGAGTTTTCCTTTCTCAAAAACGTCTTCAATCAGTGCAGTTCGAGTGCAACCTTTGCCAATGTTTTAGAGAGTCCTGCTGTAAAGACAACAGTGAATCAACGGATTGGAAATAATAAAAATAAGATGTGTAAATGACTTGGTTGATTTCTTCTTGTGTATTTACTCTGTGTAGATGCCAGCAGAGTAAATCACTGAAACTTGGTGGAATTATCTATTTTCATGTCTGTTGTTTTTTGTAACAGAAGCCATATTTAACCCTTTTCACCACAGTCTGAATCTCATAGCCATCTTGTAAAATGAAGCAAGTAGAGTCACTAAATAAACAGTTTCTTGAAAATTTTTTAATCCCCTTTAAACTTTTTCATCATTTAGTCGAGTTCCAACCTCAAACTTAGAACTATTTGACTAGGGTTTGATGTAACAGGCCAACACAAAGTAGTGCATAGTTGTGAAGTAGAAGGAAAAAAAAACATTTTTCTCAGCATTTTTTTACAACACAAAGTGTTTTTGTAAACACTCTCCTTCACTCTGATACCACAAACTAAAATGTAGAGTTCAGTGGTTACAGCTGTCACCTCACATCAAAAAGGTTTGCCTCCCACCTGGGGGCCTTTCTGTGTGGAGTTTACATGTTTTTCATGGTTACTCCATTTTCCCACTGCAGACCAAAAAACATGAATGTTAAGGTGTATTGGTAACTAAAATGTCTCAAAGTGTTAATGGTCGTCTGTCTCAGTTCCTGTGATGGAATGCTGAAAAGAAAAAGGATGGACTTTCAAACCATTTATTATTTTCTTTCACTTCACATTTAGGAGCCACTTTGTGTTGGACTGTCCTATAACATTTCAGTGAAATACTTAGAATTTGGACCGTGACAAAATGTGGAAAAGTTGAAGACTTTTTTAAGGCACAAGACAAAAAAATCACTGTTCAGAGGACTGCATAGAAACTGTGGAGGTTTTCTTTTAACCTTGTCTTTGTGTTGTTGTGAAGTAGCTTAGATATGTTAATGTGACCGATGTCTGGTTTATAACTTGTGCTTTGTAATCTACCTTTCTGACAGGACCTGATAAAGTCAAGGTAAGAACCTGTTCATACTTAACTTATTCAAAATCCTACCAAAAATGGTTTGTTATTGTCTATGAGGGTTCTGTTTTACCTGTACAGCACAACATTTTCAGTGAAGTTTAGATCCATGTCCAGTAAACACAGAAAAAACAGTATTCTTATTTCAATTTAGACATACTGGGCCTCATGCAAAAGAACATGTTCATATTCTTATCCTAAATTTCTCTTACTTTTGTTCATACGAACATGCCACATCAGATTCAACAAACTCTTCTATCTTCAGGAAAAGTGTGTAAATGAAGAATGTAAACTGATGAATGCGTATCAGGCGCTCGCGCACAAGGAGATGAAATTTGCATCATTACCACCCTAAAAACAACAAATAAGGCTACTTTTCCTGCCCTATATACCAGGAAGTGTCCATTCATAAATGACATTGCAATGTAAAAAGAAGAACTTTGTGAGTTTGCAGATTGAAGTTCTGCTCTCAGAGATCCAGAAAAGAAAATCTGTCATTTTTAGCAGCGTCAGCTGTGGAATTAAAGGAGCTGCTAAAGCAGAGGAATGAAATGATGACTGCTGTTAATGTCATGTCTCCCGTGGGTCGTATACAGTCACAGAAATAACAATCTAAATCATATTCATCTGTCTCTAGTCCTTCTCTGCTTTTCCTTTGGTCAAATATTTTAATTTAAGTGTAAACAACTGTGTTACATAGTTTTCATTTATTAGAAGAACAGTCGCGCACCGCTAGCCCCCACCCCCGCTGTCGCAAGTGTCGGATGCGTTTCTGAAAAAAATAGCTGTGAAGATAGTTTTTCTTCACAAAAATAGCTTCTTTTACTCTCTTCCCGAACCAACATTCCTCTCTATCAAGGATAAGAAGAATATCTTCATCCCTGAAAGAGTGACCGCTGGCCTGTAGATACATGTAAACTGCAGAGTCCTGGCCTGATGATGTTGCCTTTCTTTGCTGGACCATCCTTTTGAACTGTGGCTGCTTTGTTTGGCACAAACAGACTATGACCACCTATACATTGGGGAAGCATCTCTTCAGACTGAAGAAGACTTTTTGAACATTTTAACAAAGATGAACTCATCCAGAAGCCTTGACTCAACCTTGTTACATAGTTTTAAAAACAAACAAATAAAAAGATTGCTTTGGAAGAACTGGCTTTGTTTTGTTTGGACAAGGCCTCTTCATCAGATTTCATTAAAACAGTTTTTTTCCCATGAAGTCAGTCCAATGCTCCAGAATTGTTCTATGCTCCATTTTACTTAAAGATTTGATAACAGTTTGATACTAAACAGACTGTTTAACAACTCCCTATCTCTAAATATGAGACAAAATGTGCATAGGCTCCACTTCTAAAAAAGAGCTCCCCCTCTGCCCTTGTGTTTCTGCAGTTCGGGAACGAAGCTCAGCAGTTGGAGTGGGCCAAGCGTGAGAGTGAGCGGGCAGAGCGTGAGCGTCTGAAGAGGCTCCGACAGCAGGAGCAGGAGGACCTGGAGCTGGCCATCGCTCTCAGCAAGGCAGAGATGTCAAATGCATTACCTGAAACCACTACAGGCCATCAAGGCAGCAGGACTGTGACTGAACATCCAGCCATGTAGACATGAGGCCCTGAGCTCCAGTAACTCCCTCATCTACATTGTGCAAAACACACACACACACAAATCCATCAGTGCGCACTGACGCTCCTGTTGACAGAAAGAGGAACTTTAGTTCAGCCCTGACGTCCTGATGGATCGGTCCACCAAGCCGAGAAGATCAAACACCTCAGCAGTATTCAGTCTAAGCAGCTCTTCTCCACTTGATATCTCAACATGGAAAAATCAGCATATCGTCAAAAAGTGCTGACTCACTAAAAGAGCTAACATCGATGTTTACCCCAGACGCAGATATTTTCCTGTTTGTGTCGCTGTAATGTGAGCATAACACTATGATTCCAGCTACAGTGCTGTTTCCTCCTCAGAAGGCTTTTTTTCCCTGATTGTAGGCACAAAGAAAAGTTGTTGTCAAGGTTGTAGAAGTTGTTTATACTTTTATTTGTTCAGTATTTGCTTTGGAGAAGGATCTGCCCAGGATTCATATGGTCTCTAAGGGACCAGGCTTAAAATTTTGTTTTATTAAACTGTACGGGTTGTACAGAAATTAAGTTTATTGTGTTATCAAGTTGTTGGTTTTTGTTATTGTTTTTAAGAGCAGACCAGAACCTCCAGTAACATTAGAACAGACAGATAGCAGATAACACAGGAGAAGTGTCTGTGTTCGCGTTTGCTTTTCTTTCATTTGTCTAGATGTCTTTTATCAGTAATTTCAATGTTTATGATGTGAATTATCACTAATTCTGTTACAAAACAAACTCAGAATTTCAAACTCACTTTTAAAGCAACAATCAACCTTATAGTAACATAAATAAGAACATTTTATATAAAATGTCTTAGAATTTAAGGCCCTGTCACACTGCAACGTTTTAGACAACTTGGGCCAGCTTATGACTATTTTACTCATATTGGATCTATATTTGATCTAATTAGCATTACAGCATGTATAGGTCCAAAAAGTTTTTTTTATCAACTTAGACTTGTCCTCGTGCCATCTCCTCCACGAACAAAACTGGGCGATCATCCTCCATGAATTCTTTGTCTTTATGAGTTTTTGTAAAGATGGTTGTATTTTCCAACGGCCTCGGCCAGCTGCTGCTCTGCAGAGCTGTTGAAGCCAAAAGAGAGTGCAATTCAACCACTTTTGCATAAACGCGCCCACAAAGTTCTAACTAAAAACACAAGACTCGGCACATACCCCTATGAGAAAAGGCAATGTGAGAACAAAAAAGATTTAGTTTTTGTCACAAAACTACCTCATTGAGAACAAATATCTTGAAGTTGCGTATAAATCAGCCTTTACATGTTCACCAGATTTTGTTATGTTCACAAGATGTTCATATGTTCGTTGGATATTCACTTATTCATTCCTGTATTTTTTGGACATCAAAAACATTCTTGGATGTTCACGATGTTCACCAGACATATACATTTGCCAGATGTTCACAAATTTGCCAGATGTCAAATGGTTGCCAGACTTTTGCATGTTTGCCAGACGTTAACATGTTTGTTGAACTATCCAAAGTTTCCCCCAAAAAACTTGCTAAGGCTGGCATTTGCTTTTATAGTCCCGGTGGTGGGCAGCGGAGCAGTATGGTAATGATTTCGATGAGGGAGGTGAGTGGAGTGGTATAGTTTCTAATGCCTAGGTAGCGGATTGCTACGTTGCTAATGCTAGGTCCCAGCCACTTATCGTGTTGTCTCAATCTCCAGTGGCTCAAAACAACAACAAAAAAAAAAAACTCAGCTGGCTGGTTGTGCCACAAAATCAATGGTTTTGCTTGTACCATGTGAGAGTACTTTGGATTTTTGTGTGAAAATCACTGATTTTTGATGGTCAGTGTACAGGTAAACGTCCGAAGAGGTTGACATGTATGTTCATTAGGGATGTCCCAATCAAGATTTTTTGGCTCCTGATCCAATCAGATTTTTTTAATGATTAGTCTTTCTGATACCGATCCAATAGCTTTATTTCTTTATTTCTTTCCAAGTGACAAGGTTGGTAGTATTAAAGCGAGCCCTGCTGTTCCCACCACGAGAAACATCCAGTTTGCAGATTTTGCAAGATGCAGTTTCAGCATCATTGTTTTCCATTGAAAAGTGTTCCCACACTGTGGACATGGTTACATACTTGTGTGCGTCTTGTCTTCTTAACAGCGGTTGTAAAGCATGATGATGCTGAAAACTGTCGCGAAAACTGGATCGGCCCGATCACATGACTAAATCTGTTTCTACCCGATTTTCAAAAAATGGCCGTATCTGCCACCGATACACTGAGTATCTGATCGGGACATCCCTAATGTCCATATGTTAGTCAGATGTTCACGCTAGCCAAATATTTTCTTGTTAGCCACATGTTCTCATGTTCATAAATAATCGTGTTTGCCACACTTACAAAAGTTCGGCAAGCATTCACACATTTGCCATATGATCGTGTGTGCACTGGTCATTTATGTTTACCACACATTCGTGTCCACAAACAATTCAACATTCGCCAGACATTCAGCTATTCGCCAGATGTTCAGACATTCCCGTTTGCCAAACAAGCACGTCAAGCAGACATTGAGCAATTCTCTGGATGCTCCCACATCACATGGATGTTCACACATATCACCGCACGTTTACCAGGTGGTCAAACAATTTGCAGAACGTTCACCAGACGATCAAATGTTCACCAGACATTCACTTTTGCACTGGATGTTAATGTTAGCTTGACATTCATGTGCTTGCTGGATGTTCGCACTCATGTTTATTGGACATTCTCGTTTTGTCTCGAGTGGTTAGAAGGATTTTTATTCAGGTTTTAGTGTTTTTTTTAATGAAACTGTCATGATTATAATATGCACGGAATAAAAAGGACAGCTATGATGCTGTGAACATGCTGTAGTTTATCTTAAGTTATTTAAAAATGGTTGATCATAATGAGGGAGGTTGTAAAATCTGATAGTCAGATGAGACTAGATGAGAACGTTTCTTAAAATATGAGCTCCAGGTTTTTTTTTTTAAGTTTTATTGATGCAGATGCTGAAGAGCTTTGACCTGTTTCTGAGCCATAAATATGTTTATGTTCTTGTTACTTTGTTAGCATGCAACTGTCCTGACTTTATGAACTGATGTCTGCAGGTGAAGCTGCAGGAACTTTTTGTTTTTAAAGTCAAACACCCCATTTGTGTCTCTTGTCACTGTCTTTGTAAAGGATTTGTCCAGGTGTCCCCCACTTCTTACACAGTGATCTCCCTTCCAATCTGAAAAGGAAAAAGCAGGTAAAAAAATTGGATGGATGAATCGTATTAGTGAAAGCTAAAGGTTCGATTACTGTGTTCTACAGAACAAAACAGTTTAGGTCATCAAAATCAGATTATCAGCTGAATCAGGTGAGATCAGCTCAGTAAGAAGGTCCTCGGTTCAAGCCCCAGGTTGGGTCTGGTGGGGTCTTTATGTGTGGAGTTTGCATGTTCTCCTTGTGTTTAGGTGTTTTTTCTCTTGTTACTCCGGATCTTCCCGCACTCCAAAACTATACATGTTCAGGCTGCCTTCAGACCCAGGTCTCCCTTGAGAATCTCAGTGGGATTTGCCTGATTAAAACAATAAATCATCAGGTGGATCATCATTTATCATCATTATTCAGCCACCTGTTGAAGCTGCTTTTTTTGCAAGGTCAGTACCTGACTCTTGGAGTACTGATTCTGCCACGTTTTGATCCATGTCCAAAGAGGGTAGGCCTCAAGAGTAAACCGATCTACCAATCTTACATGGTAGTCCTACATGTGCTAATGACCTGAGCGTTCTGATGGTATTGGTGTAGAAAGACTGATTCAGCTGAAGTTCCAGTGCTAATGGAAATTATTACTCTGTAATATCTGTGCTACCAGGAGCCCTTGTGCTAATGAAGGTACCTAAGCCAATGATGGTTCCAGTCCTTACAGAGGCTTTGGTTCGAACAACCGTCTTTGTTCAAACAAAAGGTCTTTTTGCACTGCAAGGCCCGACCTGGGGCCGGCATGGCTTCAAATGAGGGTTCAGTGTGTTTGCATTAGCTCTTATGGTCCAGTTCTGTGCTGATTTCTGGAACTTTTGAGACCTGTGGTTCTGTTTGATGTTGCTCATTGGTTCACTGACCAGGGAGTTTACATCACACAGTAACTTTACAGGAATCATTTGCAGCGACAAACATTTTTTTCACACGAGTTTGACTTCTAAACAGTAGCAAGCTACCAAACGACAACAAGCTAACGTTAGCTACCATTAGCTTACGGTTATCCATCATCCGTCCCTCTTGTCTTCAGCGTGTTATCTGGTACAGTCTTTGGTACTTTTCCTTAGAGTTTGGTTTAGCCTATTGTTGTTGTGTCGCAAATAAAACTAAATAAGATTTGCACATGTTTAGAATTATGATCCCACCCGCACTGACGCAGCTCTCTGCTCAATGCAAACACAACCAGGGCTGGAGTAGAGTAAGGCCAGGCCTTACAATGTAAAAACGGTAAAAGGTTTCTGTGTTAAAAGAGGCACCTGAGCAAATTAGGATTCTTGGTAACGAATGTTCCTGTTCTAACAAAGCTTATTGTGCTAACAAAGGTTTATGTACTAACTGAGGTTTCTGTACCAATAAAGGTTCCAGTGCTAATGGAGGTTCCTTTGCTAAAACGGGCATTTTGATCACGTTACTGATTGTTGTTTGTTCGACCATATGGCTGATGTTCCTGACCTTTGATCTCTTGCTAATCCTTTTTTTTTTTTTTTTCAAACACTATAATCCTCTAGTTTGGATGAAACTCTGTCATGTCAACACACGAACAAAGGGCTGGGTGTTGTTTGGATCTGTTTGCTTCAGTTCTCTGTAGAACTTTGTGGGTAACGCCTCAAACTAACTTAAAATAGTTTCATTAAAGTCTTTGACCCAAAAGGTTCTATGGTTCTGCCTCTGATCACATATTTAATTCAGTAGATTAATTGTACTGTTTAAGTCTGTTCATTGAGCTCTGACTGTATGGATGGACCAGCTGGGATCTAAAATTAGACCTGTATTCATGTTTATAATTTGATGCCTCTACTGTGCAATAGATGTTTACTTTTGTTGTGGTTTAATTTATCATTTAAAGCCAGTCTGACTTTTGTAGTTTGATATGTAGTAAATGTTGTTTTTTATTATTGTTATTTATGTTCCTGTGTCCAGCTACTTCTCCCATCACATCTTTAATTTCACTATAAAATGTCCAAGATGCCTTCTGGTTTCTGGTATCAATTTTATTTCAATATTAACAATGTTATTTGTTAACAAAATGTTTATAGATTTGTTTAAATTATTTTAGTTTAAAGGGAGAATATTTTCTTTAAATTTTGTCCTTGTATAGTAATATTCTTACAATAATCATAAAACACGTTGAGGACCTTGTTGGGTTCTTTGGTCATAAAAGGCACTTCAAAAGAAATTGCCATGAAAAATAATTCTTGTGTACAGAGCCAATAAAGTATTCTGTCTGTAATATATGTCTCCTACTGGACAATTACAACTGGCTTGTGAAGAGGATGACCCTCTACATCCTCTGTACTTTGGACTAAAATAAATATTTCAGGTAAATGAGATCAGACTCCTGTTCCATTTGTTTACAGATTGTTGCTGCTTCCACAGCCTGTTGTCTCCTGTCAGCCTCTGGTCTCATCAGTCTCCTGTCTCACTTGTCCATCTTCAGTCTCTTTTATCAGTCTCCTGTCTCACTTGTCCATCTTCAGTCTCTTTTATCAGTCTCCTTTCTCACTTGTCCATCTTCAATCTCTTTTATCAGTTTCCTGTCTCACTTGTCCATCTTCAGTCTCTTTTATCAGTCTCCTTTCTCACTTGTCCATCTTCAGTCTCTTTTATCAGTCTCCTGTCTCACTTGTCCATCTTCAATCTCTTTTATCAGTTTCCTGTCTCGCTTGTCCATCTTCAGTCTCTTTTATCAGTCTCCCATCTCTCTTGTCATCCCCCTGTCTTTCTTGTCATCATCCCGTCTCTCTTGTCATCATCCCGTCTCTCTTGTCATCCTCCTGTCTCTCTTGTCATCCTCCTGTCTCTCTTGTCATCCTCCTGTCTCTCTTGTCACTCTCCTGTCTTTCTTGTCATCCTCCTGTCTCTCTTGTCATCCCCCGTCTCTGTTGTCATCCTGTCTTGTCATCCTCCCATCTCTCTTGTCATCCTCCTGTCTCTCTTGTCACTCTCCAGTCTTTCTTGTCATCCTCCTGTCTTTCTTGTCATCCCCTTGTCTTTCTTGTCATCCTCCTGTCTCTCTTGTCATCCTCCTGTCTCTCTTGTCATCCTCCTGTCTCTCTTGTCACTCTCCAGTCTTTCTTGTCACCCTCCAGTCTTTCTTGTCATCCTCCAGTCTTTCTTGTCATCCTCCTGTCTTTCTTGTCATCCTCCCATCTCTTTTGTCTTCCTCCCATCTCTCTTGTCATCCTCCTGTCTTTCTTGTCATCCCCTTGTCTTTCTTGTCATCCTCCTGTCTTTCTTGTCATCCTCCAGTCTTTCTTGTCATCCTCCCATCTCTTTTGTCTTCCTCCCATCTCTTTTGTCTTCCTCCCATCTCTCTTGTCATCCTCCTGTCTCTCTTGTCATCCTCCTGTCTTTCTTGTCATCCCCTTGTCTTTCTTGTCATCCTCCTGTCTTTCTTGTCATCCTCCTGTCTTTCTTGTCATCCTCCTGTCTCTCTTGTCAGCATCCCATCTTTCCTGTCATCCTCCTGT